TGCTAGTTGGCAGGCTGAGGCAGGAGGAGCACAAGTTTGAGGCCAGCCTCAGCAATTTAGTGAGACTCTGTCTCAATATAAAAAATAAAATAAAGGCCTGGTAATATCACTCATGGTGCAGCATACTGGGGTTCAAATCCTAGTACCGCCCAAATAAATAAATGAATTAAATAAAAAAGAAAGAAAAAGGAAAATTGAAGTAGAAAAATATGTTCACATCAACAGATGATGAAATAGTTTTTGATAAATTCTAGTCCAGGATTGTGGCTCAGTGGTAGAGTGCTTGCCTAGCATGTTTGAGGCTCTGGGTTTGATCCCCGAACTACATAAAAATAAACAAATAAAAAATAAAGGTATTGTGTCCATCCACAACTAAAACAAAAATATGTTTTTAAAAAATCTAGGAGCTGGGATTGTGAACGTTTGCCTAGCACATGTGAGGCCCTGGGTTCGATCCTTAGCACCACATAAAATAAATAAGTGAAATAAAGGTATTGTATTAAACTACAACTAAAAAATAAATATAAATAAATAAATAGGTAGAATAAAGGTATTGTGTTCAACTACAACTAAAAAATAAATATTTAAAAAATCTAGTAGGCATTAAATAAAATAGGGACTGATCGAAACTATGCATAACAAAGAGTACTTACTCTAAGAAAACCCATGATGCTAATGTTTAAAGACTGTGTGATTTCCATTAATTGAGTAAATGATGGAAATGACTGCTATTCCCACCAATACTCAACTTTATTCTGAAGATTTCAGCTGCTGCAATCAGGTGTGTAAATATATTAAATGTTGAGAGGGCTTATTTCTAGTTGAAGATTCATGATGACATGGCAGAAAACATAAAACACTAAAAGAAAGAAGGTTTAAAGAAGGTTTAAAATGAAGAATATAAATTTACAACATTCGTAAAATAATAAACACCATTACAGATTTATAACTAACAAGTATCTTAAGAGAAATACGTCCAACTTTTATAAATGTTTAATATTTACAATGATCAATACCTGGAATATTTTAAGCATCCTGAAAATCAATGAGATAAGTAATCTAAAAGAAATAAAGCAAGCACACAAATAAAAACAGCACAGTAAAGTAAACATACATTAAAAGATGTTTGAACTTATCTGTAATCAGGAAAATAAATGCTGAAACCCATAGAAGATATAGAAAAATATGAACTCAGATTCAGTGACTGAAGAGATTCAAAACTGGTACAATGGAGTAAAAATCTGGCAATAAGTGGTGAAGCTGGAAGTAGTTACAGCCTATAATAATCAACCTCACCTCTAGATAACACCTTGCAGAGACTGTAGGCTCTAAGAGAACCCAAAACTAGGCAAAATAGTATTCAATATAGGATTTTATTACAATGAAAAATTATTTACATCCTAATGACAGTGTAACCAAATAGTTGAGCCTGTTTCATACATACATGTCCAGGACGAGGCTGCGATCTTTTCTATTCTGTAGAGTATGATGAGAGCTGCAAAGAAAATTTCCCCATGATGAAGATGGGCCCTGTAATACAATCAGTCATTCCCATGTCTGAAATGACATCCCTGTGGTTAGGGTAGCTGCTACCAAAGTGCTCATATACCAAAGGTCTTAACAGATATTGGAAGTGAGAATTCCCAATGAAATAAATTTTAGATACACTCAAATAAATTTTCTTTTCTACATCTTTTGAAAAGTTGATTACATGTACTTGGAATCCCCCGAAGCAGGAGATTTTGTTTCGTTTCTTTGACTTGCTCATTTGCATACTTTTCCAAGAAAATATTTTCAAATATCATCGAGAATTAGTATTCCCTGAGACAAAACACGTGAAGAACATTGGGGGTTTGGGCTGTATACTGTGTTAATCACAGGTCTGGAGACATCTGGTGCTTGGGAAAGGAAACTCACTAACATATTAATGAAGACTGGTATTGTAATGAATACTAGAGTTGTGAAGAATACAATCTTCACTAATGAAGCTGGTCTAGATTTTGCTTTTTAGGAGCTATCTTTGTCTAGTTTTATTATCAGGATTATTTTAGCTGTACAGAATTGTTAAAAATTTGTTAAGGATTATCTGTTCCCTAAAGCTTTTAGCTACACAGTTTTCAGATTTTCTTGTTCTTAAAAAAAGAGAACAAAAAAAGGGGAGCTCACACACACTCTCTCTCTCTCTCTCTCTCTCTCTCTATTGGGTTCTACTGTATCAAGTCAATTGTAACGCATTCTTAGAGAAAAATGTAATCCTTCTATATTTTTACACATTTTGAAACTGAAATGAATATTTCTGTGCAGGCATTGAACCCAGGGCCTTGTGCATGATAAGCAAGCACTCTTAACACTGACCTACATCCTCAGCCCTTTCTTATTTTGAGACAGGATCTCACTAACTTGCCGAGAATGGCCTTGAACTTGCAATCCTCCTGCCTCAGCCCCTCAAGTAGCTGGATTACAGGTATGTGCAACCACATTCTTATTAATTTTTTCTGTAGTTGTGTCACCTTTACCATCATTAATACTCTATGTGTATTATCTTTCGTTTCTTTTCTTGGATTAGACTGCAAAAATCTAGTCATTAATACTATATCAAGTCTACTATTTTCTTAATTTCTACTTTACTGTACTTGGCTTCCCTTTACTTGTGCTGGTTTTATTCTGGTGTTTCTGGTTTCTTTACATAGATGCTTATTCATTCCTTCATGACACTTATCCATGTGACAGACCCTGTGTTGTTCACTTTGCATAAGTGAAGATGATGAAGATGGGCCCACAAATGAGACTTCATTACTACATCAAACGGCATTATTTGCTCAATGAATAAAACTTTGGTGACATGTGACATGCTAGATGAGCAAGCATCTCATCATTAACTTCTAAATAGTTCATAATCCCAATTTTTATTTTAAATATTTTATTACTGAAATGTTAAATACATACAAAAGTAGAAATATTAAAACAATAAGTTACCATAAACAAATCGCTGCACTTCAATGATTACCAACATTTTGCCATTCTTTCTTTTGCTAGAATATTTCAATGTAAATCTATGTATCTTATAATATCAGAAATATGTAAATATGTCTAACACATAGGATATTTTATTAGTAACCATATTGACATTATCCCTAACAAAGTTAATATATCTAACATTCAGTCCATGTCCACGATTCCTCCACTGTCTTCAAAAACTCTTTTAACATTTTGGTCAAACCAGATCCAAGCAATTCCCATGCATTGAATTTAGTGATGTGACTCTTAATCCTACTCTATTATTAAGGGTTGCTCCTCTTTGTTTTTCATGCCTCTCGTTAGTGGACAAAATCAGGGCATTTATTCTGTAGAATTTTACACATTCTGAATCTCATTGGTGACTTCCTTGTGGTGACTCTGACTTTATTCATTCATTCCCCAAATCTTGGTTTAAAGAATTTGATTCAAAAGTATGATTCCTTCAGTTCACTGTTTTGGCAAGAAGGCCTCACAGGTAGTGGTATGTACTTCCTATTGGATTTCACCAGGAGGTGGACATTGTGTGACAGTCCCATTTTGACTAACGCTAAAATTGGTCAAAGGATTCAGAAGTGGTCAGTATGATAAATCCACTATAAAGTCTTTCAACTAAAAGTTTTTTTATCCATGGAACACTGTTTTCAGGTCCATTATTCCATTAAAGTCTAGAAAATGATGGTTTTTCTAATCCTATCATTCTTTTTGAATTTATTGATTAGACTTTTTGTTAAAACAATACCATTTGAATTTGATGAATTTTTGGTGATGCTGAAATTTGGTTCACAATTTAATGATTTTAAGAATGATGATCGTGTCATAGCATCTTGCACAGCTGACAAACCGTATAATCACAACCAAGTCATAAACTATCAAACTACTATTTGTGGGGCTATCTCAAAACGCCCAATTTGTGTTGCTGAGGCTGGCCTCAAACTTATGATCCTCCTGCCTCAGCCTCCCAAGTTGTTAAGATTATAGGCATGCACCACTATACTTGGCAAAACACCTAATTTGAAAAAACTAATTGAAGATGGGGCAATTTAAGCATCAAAAAGCATACTGACTATAATGGTATTTTCTTTTATATATAAGTTTTACATACACACACATACACATACATTTAAATTCCCAACTGGTTAGTTTCTTTTATGCCATCTTTTTTGAGAGTTTGTGATACATCTTGAATTCTAGTCAGACAACTAGGATTTTAAGCCATTTGCTTTTTTAAAGGATCAGAAAAGATTCTGATAAATTCATACAGTTCTTTTCAGCATGAAATTTCTGATGCAGATCAAGTGATGAAGAACTTCTGATATTCACTATAATCTCCTAGATTTTACTAGAATAAATTATTTTCATTTTATTAAGTGCAGAGATGTAACAGGAGGCATTTCTATACTTATTACTCCTATAGAATCTTCCATGAGAATTCACTAATACTAATGATGTTAATATCAATTATAGACAGTATTTACAGAATACATGCTATGTGACTGGCTACTCTTCTAAGTATTAACTACTTAATCCTTACAATGATTATATTACACAGTGTGACTGGCTGACTCTTAATTGACTCCCAATGGTCCCTGTCTCCTGGTATTCACTCTCAAGTAATCCCCTTTTCTTGAGTGTGGGCTGGTCTAGTAATTTACTTCTATCAGTAAAAGGTAGCAAAGGTGATAAGATGTAACCGCCACAATTAGATAACACAAGATGCATCATGTCTATATTGCTAACAGACTTCCCTCTTGCTAGTTCTTGCCTTCTTGGCTTGCACACTTTGATGAAGTAGTCATGTGAAGAGGCCGCTGTAGCAAGGAACTGCAGTCAGCTTCAGCCAGTAGTCAACTAGAAACTGAGGATCTCCATCAAGAGCCCTCAAGAAAATGAATTCAAGCATTGTTAGCTTGGATATGGATCCTTAGTCTTGGCTGTAACCTTGTAACTACAAGGACTCAACTAAGTCATGCCTGGATTCCTGATCCATAGAAACTGTGAAATAACCTATGTATATTATTTTAAGCTACTATGTGTTCTAGTAATTTATCACACAGCAATAAATAAGTACTACTATCATAATTTTAAAAATGAGCACAAAGGTTTAGTATCTTGTTCAATATCACAATGGTAGTAAAGTGGCAAAATGGAGATGACAGATAAAGCTAAACATTTTCCTACATTCATTAAATTATTCTCTCAAAGGAATTTGCTGAAGATAAACAATGTTTGAAGGGTGATGGAAGGCTCAAAGCAACACATTCCTTCCCTAATAGAAAATTTCTTACATTTAGTTGTAAGTGTATTTTCTCAAAAATGGATTTACTGGTGTTTTGTAACAAAATGCAAATTTGAAAGCTTTCTTGTATTAAATTCCATTATGAATCTTCTGATGTTGAGTAAGGTGTGAATGTTGTCTGAAGGCCTTCTTACATTCCTTACATTTATAGGGCTTCTCCCCAGTGTGAATTCTCTGGTGTTGAGTAAGAAATGAATAAAGTCTGAAAGCCTTACCACAATCCTTACATTCATAAGGTTTCTCTCCAGTGTGAATACTCTGATGCTGAGTAAGTTGTGAGAGCAGTCTAAAAGGCTTTCTGCATTCCTTACATTCATAGGGCTTCTCACCAGTATGAATACTCTGATGTTGAGTGAGTTGGGACAGCAGTCTGAAAGCCTTCCCACATTCCTCACATTCATAGGGTCTCTCACCAATATGAATGCTCTGATGTGAAATAAGTTGGGAGTAACTACTAAAGGTCTTCCAACATTCCATACATTCATAGGGTTTCTCACGAGTATGAATTCTCTGATGGCGAACAAGTTGCTGCCTTAATCTGAAAGTCTTTCCACATTCCTTACATTCATAGGGTTTCTCACCAGTATGAATACTCTGATGAACAGTAAGTTGTTGGCATATTCTAAAGGCCTTCCCACAGTCCTTACATGCATAGGGTTTTTCACCAAAATGAATTTTCTGATGTACTCTAAGGTCTGGGCCACATACAAAGGCTTTCCCACATTCCTTACATTCATAGAGCTTCTCAGCAGTGTGAAGTCTCTGATGTCTGGTGAGGTGTGTACATTGTCTGAAAGTCTTCCCACACTCCTTACATTCATAGGGTTTCTCACCAGTGTGAATTCTCTGATGCCGGGCCAGTTGCTGATGTACTCTGAAGGCCTTTCCACATTCCTTACATTCGTAAGGTTTTTCACCAGTATGAAGTCTCTGATGTTGAGTAAGTTCTTGGAGCACAGTAAAGGCCTTCCCACATTCCTTACATTCATAGGGTTTCTCACCAGTATGAAGTTTGTGATGTCGAATAAGGTGTGCACGCTGCCTAAAGGCCTGTCCACATTCTTTACATTTATAAGGTTTCTCACCCGTATGAATTCGTAGGTGCTGACTAAGTGTTGAGCGACGAATGAAGGTCTTCCTACACTCCTTACATTCATATAATTTTTCTCCATTATGAATTCTCTGATACTCAGCAAGAAAATTATTCTTTTTGTAAGTGGTCGTTTTTTCAGAGGTAATTTTCACCTGCCCAAAATAACCCTCTTGTGGTTCTTTTTGTCCCTCAATCTTGCTTTTACATTCCCAATCATTTCTAAAAATGGAGTCCTGAAGGGTATAGCTTTTAATTCTTTCCATTATCTCCCACTGTAACGAATATATTTCATAAATGTCCTTTTCTGGAGATGAAGTATTGGTCCTATATCTGGGCTCCAAATCTGAAAGAAAACAAGAAAGCAAATATATCCTCATCTTCAACAAAACTGTGCACCAAAAGTAAACTGAGTTTATAGGGAAATGGATTGGAGTAGAACATTTAGCTCTATATAATTTTATTAGGAGAATACTAACAAATAGTTCATATCTCAAGGGATAATACAAAAGACAGATCACTATGGTTGAAGCTCACTTTATGAACACTGGAATGCACAAAAATAAAGCAGAAACTCCGGATGTCAAGTGCTGAGGCACTGCATGTGTGGAAATAAAGCTCTGAGTTGGGTACGTGGTATGTGCCTATAGTCCCAGCTCCTTTAAGGCCAACCTGGGCAGTACAGTGAGGGAATGGAAGGAGGGAAGGAAGGGAGGGAGGGAGGGAGGAAGGGAGGGAAGCAAAGAAGAGGAAAAAGCCTCAAGTCAGTGAGGTAGGAGTAAGGTGAAATGCAGCCTGACTTGCTGAGTGTGGTAGTGCATGCATGTAATCCCAGCAACTTGGGAGGCTGAGGCAGGGGGACTGAAAGTTCAAGGCCAGCTAGTGAGGCCCTAATCAACTTAGCAAGACCCTGTCAAGTTGAAGGCTTTTGCCTTTCATGCTGAATCTTCTAAATCTCTACATGTGTGTCCTCACTTAAGTAGGAGAATTACCTGTAAATTTGTTCTACATGATACTACTATTATTCTTGATCACTACTAAATGAATTTATATCATGGAACAGGTTGAATTCCCGTACATATTGACAAAAGGCAAGGGAAACACAAAAGAACAGAGTCCAGGAGTGGAGGAGATGTGGCTAGTGATTAGGGAAACAAGCCAAATCAGTGGAGCCCTGATTTAAGTGTGGCTAAGGATCATCTAGAGACTTATTTAAGCTATGAAGAGGTTTTGTTTATTTGTTTGTAAGTTTTTGGGTACTGGGGGTTGAACTCAGGGGCACTGGACCACTGAGTCACATCCCCTGCCCTTTTTGTAGTTTATTTAGAGACAGGATCTCACAGAGTCGCTAAGTGCAACTGTGTTTTTTACCAGCATCTTGATACAGTGGCAGACTAACTTGTTAGCTTGCAAGCAGGGTAAAGTTGCAAACCTTTCAGTTCTTCTTCTTCTTTTTTTTAAAATATATATATGTGTAGTTGTTGATGGACCTTTATTTTATTTATTTATTTATTTATATGTGGTGCTGAGAATCGAACCCAGTGCCTTACACATGCTAGGCAAGCATTCTACCTCTGAGCTATAACCCCAGCCATTTAAATTTCAGTTCTTGATATTAGCAAATAACTAGCAAAACAGATTTGATATTTTGAAAATCATAGAGGACTACAATCTCAATAAAGGGTAATTTTCTAAGAAAGCATTGAGAAAGTCATGAGAAAGGGCCTATTCCAAAAAATAATAAAATCCAAATTATTTCTAAGTGAGTATAAAAATGGAGTCAAATCCTAATAAAGGAAAGCTATATGCCAAAATCACTTTTGAGAATCCCCCCCTCAAAAAAAAAAAAATAACAAATCTCATCTCTAGGATAGCAGGTTAAAAGCCAGTCTCAGCAACTTAGGGAGGCTATAAACAACCTAGTGAGACCTTGTCTCAAAAAATCAAAAGGGCTGGGATGTAGCTCATTGGTGAAGTGCCCCTGGGTTCAATTCCCAGGACTAAATAAATAAAGAATACCAAATGTTTTTTTAAAAAGAATATATGGTTACTTCATTATCATGATATAAATGTATTTATTAGCTCAAAAGTTGGGCTTAACTTAGGAAACACTGGTGTTATAAAGAAATTCTAGAATCAGGTTGGGGTTGTAGCTCAGCGGCAGAGCACTTGACTAGCATGTGTGAGGCACTGGGTTTGATTCTCAGTAACACATATAAATAAATTTTAAAAAGGTCCATTGACAACTAGAAAAAAATATTAAAAAGAAAATCTGGAATCATTCTGAAACTTTACTGTGGTAGTAGTTCCACAACTATATGCCTTTGTTAACATTCCAAGAACTGGCCACCAAGCAGGGTGAATTACGATGTACATAAATTTTATATTCATTATCAATCAGACTTTTAAAAGTATTTACAAAATATTATCACAAAAATATCTAATCACAAAAGATATCAATTCTCATGAAATCAATTTATAAAAAAGGAATGCAGTTCTCAGGGGGTATATGGAAATCTCTGTGCCTTCTGTTCAATTTTATTGTGAACCTAAAACTGCTCTAGAAAATGAAATCTATTTTTTAAAACAGAAGTAAAGTGCCTCTTGCCCTAAGTCACCACATCCTATGTCTTTATTTTTGTTCTAAAGTATTTATGAATTTGAAAGAATTTTTGCTCTTTGTCCATACATACTTCCTTCCAAAAATCAACTAGCAATGATTTTCTTTAGCCTGCTGGTCAAAGATATAAGTGGCCCAGCACAGTGGCATGTGCTTGTAATCTCAGCAGCTTGGGAGGCTGAGGCAAGAGGATAGTGAGTGCAAAGCCAGACTCGGCAAAAGTAAGGCCCTAAGCAACCCATTGAGACCCCGTCTGTAAATAAAATACAAAATAAGTCTGGGGATGTGGCTTAGTGGTTAAGTGCCCCTGAGTTCAATTCTTGGTACCCCCACCCAAAATGATAAAAATGCATTTTATATATGTGTGTGTGTGTATGGCTAGATGAAATATAATACTAATACAATAATTTGAATTAAGGAATAACATTATATTTTGAATACAAATCTGTAATTGGCTTTTAGGTATATTTAACAAGGACTGATGAGAAATTTTTGTTGGGGTGGGTGTTGTACTCACAAAGATATAGCTACCATTGATAAACTTGGATTATTGACCCTTTAAATCCAGGTCAGTCTCATTGAAATTAGATGGCTCAGTCCTTATTTATTAGGGTGTCACTAGCCTGACTCCATAATAAGAAGGTCTAGAGGATGTCTTACCGAGATAGCTACAGGGGTCAGGCTATAAAACCACTCCTATGCTGTAATATGTTACGACCTGCTAGAGGAAGTGCTGCCACTGTTTTGGGTGATGAACTTTTGAGAGGAAACAGGACAAATGGATCTCCCCCAAGAGATCCCAGAAGCATAAGAGATGGCAAGTAAACTGGATTATATTTTTATCGATGTTCTGTGAGGAGGAATAACAATTTGTTTTCTCCTAGAACTTAGAAACTCCTATTTTATCAAAATTATATACCAATATAATGATTGATTTCTTTATTTAATGCCTCTCAAAAATGAAATCTTGGGCTGGGGCTGTAGCTCAGTGGTAGAGTGCTTGCCTAGCATGGGTGAGGCACTCGGTTCGATCCTCAGCACCACATAAAAATAAACAAATAAAATAAAGATATTGTGTCTATCTATCACTAATAAAAATATTTTAAATGAATAAATAAATGGGCCTCTTAAGTGTGGGTGTGTCAGGGGGTGGAGGTCTATTTCTAGGGTTCCTGTGTTGTTCGTTATCCTTATGGCAATGTATTAATTACCATGTCTTGATTATTGTAGTTTTATAATAAATTTTGGAGTATCTTGAAGTCATATCATTTAAGTTCTTTTTTAAAAATAATTTTTTAGTTGTAGAGGGACACAATACCTTTATTTATTTATTTATTTTAAGAGAGAGAGAATTTTTAATATTTATTTTTTTGTTTTCAGCGGACACAACATCTTTGTATGTCGAGCTGAGGATTGAACCCAGTGCCTCACACATGCCAGACGAGTGCACTACCACTGAGTCACAACCCCAGCCCATATCATTTAAGTTCTATAATAAGTCCTTCCACCTTTCTAGATTATTTTCAAACATGCTAAGTAAGTCCTCTGTATTTCCAAATATGTTTAAAATCCGCTGGCTGCCAAGTGAGGTAGCACACACCTGTAATCCCAGCAACTCAGGAAGCTAAGATAAGGGGATTGAAAAGTTCAAGCCTAGCCTGGGCAACTTAGCCAGACCCTGTCTCAAAAACTAAAAAATAAAAAGGGTTAAAGATGTAGCTCAGTGGTAGAGCACCCCTGAGTTTGATCCCTAGTACCATAAAAATAGAATCAGCTTGTTAATTTCCAACCCAAAGAAGCTGGCTAGGATTATGGTTAAAATTGTATTGAATCAATAAAATTGAGTTTTGCAATGCTGAGTTCCATTTATTTAGGCCTTCTTTAATTTTTCTTAACAATGTTGCATAGTTTTCTTTGCAGGGGTCTTGCACATTTTATCAAAGTATTTTATGGATTCTGATGCTATTATGGATTGAGCTATTTAATTTTCTAATTTGTTTTGTTGCTCCTACTATATAAAACACTTTTGATTTTTTTAATATTAACTTTGAACCCTATGATGTTACTAAGATCTTCATTTAATACTCTGAATCATATATTTTTTCTTCTTTTAATCAGGTGGTTGAATCACTGTCATTATTTTTTCTCTCTTTTTTTTTTTTTTTTCGGTACCGGGGATTAAACTCAGGGACACTCAACCACTGAACCTCATCCCCAGCTGATGTTTGTATTCAATTTAAACACAGGGTCTCACTGAGTTGTTTAGCACCTCGCCATTGCTGAGGCTGGCTTTGAACTCTTGATCCTCCTGTCTTAACCTCTTGAGCCGCTGGGATTATAAGCACGTGCCACCGTGCCCAGCCTAAACAGTTGTTTTTTACTATTGTTTTTCCTTTTTTTTAATGTATTTTTTAGTTGTAGATGGACACAATATATTTATTTTATTTATTTTTAGTGAGGCTGAGCCTCACACATGCTAGGCAAGCGCTCTCCAATGAGCCACAACCTCCACCCCACAGCTTTGTTTTTTTTTTTTTTTTAAAGAGAGAGAGAGAGAGAGAGAGAGAGAATTTTTTAATATTTATTTTTTTAAGTTTTCGGTGGACACAACATCTTTATTTTATTTTTATGTGGTGCTGAGGATCGAACCCAGCGACCCGAGCATGCCAGGCGAGCGCGCTACCACTTGAGCCACATCCCCAGCCCACAGTTGTTGTTTTGATTTCTTAGGATTCTTCATGTATACAATTGTGCCATCTCCAAATACAGACTTTTACTTCTTCATTTTTGTATATTTTATTTATTTATTTATTTTTATTCTAATTTGTTATATTTGACAGTAGAATACATTATAATTCATATCACACATATAAAACTCAATTTTTCATATCTCTGGTTGTATATAAGTATATTCACACCATTCATGTCTTCATACAAGTACTTAAGGTCATTTTTGTATCTTTTAACTTTCCTTATTTTATTGCATTGGCTAGAATTAAAATTAAATTTCCAATTTAATGTTAAATAGATGTGGGAAGAGTGGGTATCTTTGCCTTATATCCAAGCCTATGTAGAAATTCTTCAATCAAGTATCATGAAGTTTATAATGTAGTATTTTTTCTTAGCAGATGCCTTTTATCAGGTTAAGGGAATTCCCTTTAATTTCTAGTTTGCTGAGAGTTTTTATCAGATCTGGATGTTGAATTCTGTCATATGGTATATTTATTTATTTTTTATTTTTTTGTAGTTGTAGATGGACAGAATGCCTTTATTTTATTTGTTTATTTTTATGTGGTGCTGAGGATCAAACCCAGTGCCTCATGCATGCTAGGCAAGTACTCTGCTGTTGAGCTACAGCCCCAGCCCCACATGGTATATTTATATCTATAGAGATGAACATATAATCTCTCACGTTTTCCTTTTAAAATGGTGAAATTACACAGATAAAATTTCTGAATGTTAAAAACCAAGCTTGCGTTAATTAAGTATGGATAAGGCCCACTTGATCAACATTTTTTTTTTAAATTTTTTAGTTGTAGTTGGACACAACACCTTTATTTCACTTGTTTATTTTTGTATGTGGTGCTGAGGATCGAACCTAGGGTCTCACACGTGTGAGGCGAGCGCTCTACCGCTAAGCCACAAACCCAGCCCTGATCAACATTTTTATATATTGCTGAATTTGATTTGCTAATGTTTTGTTAAGAATTTTACACGTATGTACTTGAGAATATGAGTGTAAAAATTTTTTTAATAATTTCTTTGTCAAGTTGTGTTGGCCTAATAAAGTGAGTTGAGAGATGTTTCTTTTCTGAGGATATTTATATAACAATGCTGTTATTTTTTCCTTAAATATTAATAGAATATACCAGTAAAGCCATCTGGGTCTGGCATTCTCTTTGTGGAAGGAGAAAGAATTCTGACAACATAAGGTTATTTGTTTTCTTTTTTATGATGTCAGTTCTGGTAACTATTTTTCAAGGAATTTTCCATTTCACTCAAGCTATCAAACTTACTGGCATAAAGTTATTCATGGAATTATCTTCTTATTCTTTTTTTTTTTTTTTGGTAGGAGGGATTGAACCCAAGAGCACTTGACCACCGAACCACATTCCCATTTTTTTTAAATAAAAAAAAAATTGCTTTAGTTATAGATGGACACAATTACTTTATTTATTTATTTTTATGTGGTGCTGAGGATTGAACCCAGTGAGGCAAGCGCTCTATCACTGAGCCACAACCCCAGGCCTCCCAGCTCTTTTTATATTTTATTTAGAGACAGGATCTCACTAAATTGCTTATGGCCTCATTAAGTTGTTGAAGTTGGTTTTGAACTCACAATCCTCCTACCTCAGTCTCCTGAGCTGCTGGGATTACAGGCATGTGCTACCATGCCCAGCTCTTGGCTCTTCTTATTCTTTTAATAGCTATAAGATGTGAGTGAAAAACCCCTGTTTCATTCCTGATATTAGTAATTTATGTTCTCTAGGTGTTGTTGATCTTCTCAAGAAATCAACTTTTGGCTTTATTAAATTTCTATACTTTTTCCATTTTGTTGATTCCTGCCCTTATATATATTATTCTTTTGGTTCTTTTCAGTTTTTTTCCTTACTGAGAACAGCTCTTCTCTTTGAAGTGAGAGAAAATAAGGGAGATTAGGAATAGTGTAATCAAGGTCAATACAAAGTTGCTTTATAAAGATCTTAATTTGCTTCAGGTCTCAAGCTTTTCCCTCACAGGCTGTGGGATTTTGAAGAGATGCCCAACAAATTCTCAAGAGTGTGCCACCAAGTCAGGTGTGGTGGCGCACGCCTGTAATCCCAGAGGCTTGAGAGGCTGAGGGAGGAGGACGTGAGTTCAAAGCCAGCCTCAGCAAAAGTGAGGCACTTAGCAACTCAGTGAGACCCTGTCTCTAAATAAAATATAAAAAAGGGCTGGGGATGTGGCTCAATGGTTAGGCGCCCCTGGGGGTGGGGGGAGAGTGTGTCACCTGCCTAGCCAGCTTAGCTATCACCTATAATAACGATTTCTCCATAGCTGCTCAGTTCTTACTCACCAGGGCAAGATCTTTTTATTCTTTCCTTCACAACCATTCCTTCTTCATCCATTAAGGTAATCATATCTGGTTTAGAAACAGAAGATCCTGCTTAAAAGAAAAATGTCAAGTGAAATTATAAACCTAAAAGTTCTTACATTCAGATTTGGTTATATAAATTTACCGTTAACTATAAATAAAAATGGTACTCAATAATGCCTAAATGCAAACAGATGCAAGGAACATTTCTCTTGTCCTCTTTCTTTCTGAACTCCTTTGATTTTTAGGGAAACTTAGAAGCCATCTGAATATCCTCGCTGCAGAAAGATTAGAAAGGAACATGAAGCAACTATGTCAACTCTGATCTCAAATACAATGTGAAATCTGGTTTCTTGGGCAATATTCTGCCATATTCAAATTCAGCTCCTGGAATACTAAGGACACCAAGAATTAGAGTCTGAAGAAAGTGTGAAAAACACAGCAGGCTGAGAATGATTTCATGTTAAATGAAGGGGCTCATTTCCAATTTAACAAATCCTAAACCATTCTTTTTAAAAACAGACAGTAAAAAATATAGCTAGATTTTCAAAATATGTCCTGAAATAGAGAGTAAAAAAAGTTAATTTCCTTTGGGATACTCTTACCTAGTGAGAGGAAGTTGTTGTAGTTCTCCCACATTACGTCCCTATATAAGTCCCTCTGAGCAGAGTCCAGGAATTCCCATTCTTCCTGTGAAAAGTCTATGGCCACATCCCTGAATGTCACTGAACCCTGAAATATAAACTCATGGATTACTTGTGGAAATAGATTAAGTATTCTTTAAATGAAAAGAGAAAAGACTGATGATTACATGGTACAGTGAGAACTACATAGCATGTACATAGCACAAGGCTGAAAACTTATGATGTAAGTAGGGGACAGCAAGAAAATTAGCATCTCTAAAGCAGTGTCTATATGTTCTTGAATAATGCTGTGGCTACAGAAAAAATTTTTATCCAAACATATCTGGAAATGAACAAATAACCAAAAAAAAATGTCAGACTAAATTATGCATACAAGCCTTCTGCTTCCACTATAAATTCTAAAGAAATATGAATGAGGTCTTCTACCCTCTTATAAATTCTAAAGAAATATGAATGAGGTCTTCTACCCTCTTATCCCTTTAATGATTATGAAAAAAAAACTGACAAAATTTCTCCCAAATGTACTTTAAAATCTCTAAGAAGCCTCAAGTTCACACAAAGTCAGATTTTATTAAAACCTTTTCCCATGTTCCAACCAATTCTTAAGTAAACTTTTCAAAATTTGTTACCTAGTAGTCCTCATTTTGAATATATTTGGTTCTCTTTTTAAAATTCAGATGTTTGAATTCAATGTAATCTCAAAAGTCTTCTTTTATTATCTATAACATCTAATATTTATGCATTTGAATAACCTTCTTATTCTTTACTATAAGCTCTCACTGAGCATCTTTTTTGTTCCTGAGTTACAGAATTCTGAATCATAAAGATATGGTAAAGAGAACACTACAGACTGGTGGTTTTCAACAAGGAGTGATTTTTTTTTTAATATTTATTTTTTAGTTGGACACAATATCTTTATTTATTTTTATGTGGTGCTGAGGATCGAACCCAGGGCCTCGCATGTGCTAGGTGAGCACTCTACCACTAAGCCACAACCCCAGCCCCACCATAAGGAGTGATTTTGTTACCCAAAAGACATCTGGCCAGGGCTGGGGTTGTGGCTCAGAGGTAGAGTGTTTTCCTAGCATGCATGAGGCATGGGTTCGATTCTCAGCAACACATAAATTAAAATAAAGACTTTGTGTTCACCTATAACTAAAAAATAAATACTTAAAAAAAAAAAAAAGATAGGGCTGGGGTTGTGGCTCAGCGGTAGAGTGCTCGCCTCGCACAGGCGAGACCCTGGGTTTGATCCTCAGCACCACACAAAAAATAAATAAGTGAAATAAAGGTATTGTGTCCAACTACAGCTAAAAAATAAATAAATAAATACACACACACACACACACACACACACACACACACACCTGGCCATATCTGGAGACAATTTTTTTTGTCACAACTCAGAGGAAGGGATGTGACGTTACTGACACACAGTGGGTAAATGCCAGGAATATTGTAAGACAACCTACAATACACAGAATAATCCTTTAAAATAAAGGATTCTCTTGCCTCAAAATGTCAATAGTTCCAATGTTGAAAAATTCTGATCTAGATCAGCACATCCTATGAAAATACTCAATGACTTTGTTCCTGACATTATTCTTTCCGGGAGAAAGTCATCAGAAGTGATTCTTGATCTTTCTATTTGCAGCCCTGTTTCATTCACCATCCACTCACCCTAGTGGTGAGAGGTGATCTACCCTAAAAAAGCACTAGATATACAAACAAGCAGAGGCTAGACAGATGAGACTGACTCCAATTTATTATTCATATATACTCATAGTCTGAGGGAAGATGTCACACATCATAGAGGGCCACAGGGGTTACATTCAGAAATAAAGAGAACAACAGGGGCAATGGGAGGAAGCTAGGCTTTTAAAGAGGATGAGGTGTTCTCTGGTTCCATAGGAGAATGTGACTGACTTGTCTGAATAATTCCATGGGCAGCCAGGAGGAGAAATCTGAGGACAACAAGGGGTATAACTTGTCCAGCTGATACAGGAACTAGCTAGGAAGGAAGACTTTTCCACTGGTTAAACGGGCATATCTGGTGTGAGCAGGGCACTCATGGTTAAACCTTTGAAAACTTGACAAAGATGTCAAGACAGCACATGCATGGCTGGGGCTGGGGTGTAGCTCAGTGGTAGAGCACTTGCCTTCCATGCTCCAAGCCATGGGTTCAATCCCTAGCACTACCACCAAAAAAAGAAAAAGAAAAGAAAAGAAAAAAGAAAAAAAGACAGTACACAACATTTTAGGTCCTACCATATAAGGTCTCAATTACATCCCTATCCAACCCATCCAATCTTAAAAGATCTCAACACATACAGAAATTGAGATCAGTCAATGTTTAAATCCTAACTTATATAACTTAAAAATTCAGCTTGGTGGAGGAGTTTAGAGTTTTTCCCATAAAAAATCAAATAGGTACAAATTCTCTCTTTCATCAAACCACAGATATTCAAGGAATATTCAAAACACTATCAATAATCCATTCCTAAAAATCAGGCATTCTAATATATTACCAGATACCTATTTTTTTCATCATTTTAAATTAGAGATTAATAATACATTATATGTTAATTTCAACCTTCCAATTAGCTTCACAAGATTTTCCTCTAACACAGAATTGTAATATACAGTGGGTCAGAGCATATATATCATTTTAGACTTTTTTACTAAATTAATTAATATTAATATTTCTCATTTGCTTTGCATCTTTCTCCACAATTTTCTTCAATCGTTTCCAATCTTTAAAAAACTAATTTTATGCTAGAAAAACACCAAGAGCTTAACATGTGCAATACACTATGAAAAAAATTTCCAACAAGGACATAATAGTAGGAATGACCCACATTTATCTGATGCTCAGGTGCCTACTTTACCACCAGCAGCACCAGATATACACATTTCCTTTAATGACACACATATATTTTTTTCTTTATTAGAGAGAGAGAGAGAATTTTTTTAATATTTATTTTTTTAGTTTTCGGCGGACACAACATCTTTGTTTGTACGTGGTGCTGAGGATAGAACCTGGGCCGCACGCATGCCAGGCGAGCGCGCTACCACTTGAGCCACATCCCCAGCCCCAAGACACATATATTTTAAAACATCTGTAGGTGATTCTGGTGGTCTAGCAATTACATGTGGAATACAACTAGACTCTTCCAGGACACTGTTTTTGTTTTAAAAGATTAGTATTTTAAAAAATACTAATGAACTATATGATTCCATTTATAGTTCTAAATATAAGCACAACTAATTTGTGATGTTCAAAGTCAGGATAGTGGTTATATAAGGAGTGACTGAAAGAGGGGCATCTGAGGTGCTAGTAATACTCCTTTCTTGATCTGGAACCATAAATGTACTCAATTTAAGAAAATTCATTCAGTTCAACACTTAATATTTTTATGCTTCTCTGTTTATATGCTAAATTCCATGAAACAGCCTTACTTTTTGAAAATGCCACAAACCAGGGACATAAGTTTTTCTATATAAATAGATCAAAAATCATTGTATTAAGGGAAATACATTTTTTCTGAAGTTTAAGAATTAAAATCAAAAGTCATTCCATTGGAAAATGTTAAAAGAGGGACATTCTGCAGATAAAGTCTATATTTTCTCAAGGCATTCCACTTTTGCTTTTGGCAGAAGGTTCTGAAGATGGGTGATGGTCAACACTAGTGAAGAAGGGAAGGCATGGGTGGGTTCTCTGACCCAGTCCTCTCAGGAATGAGAGAAATTGGAGCAGGTTCTTGGATGGAGTTCTGTTAAATCAGAAGATTCAGAAAAAGAAATGAATATGTACAGATGATATAGAAATTGATCTAGAATGATCACTCTAGAAATAATATGGAAATCTGATGTTTCAAAAAGGAAAGAGAAACATTAACTTACATGGGCCATGGTTTTAGAACTGCAAGAATTGATTTAGTCCTTTTCAATATATTTCTGTTGGAGAATTCCAGAATCAAAACAAACCAGAGCTGGAAGAAGAAAAAGAAGCTATAAGCCCAGACCAAATAACTTATTTTTTTTTAATTACTTAACTCAAAATAATATTTATTAAAATAAAAGTGTGAACTACAAGAAAAGAAGGAACATTAATGAATGATTCACATAAACAAAAAATTAAATGCTCATTCATTGCATATATTTATAAAATATTTCATAAAACTACCTTAAAATTTAAACTTTAAATATTTATGTGGAAAGCAAGATAGTTCCAAATAACTTATTTTAATATGAACATTTTTTTCCTCTTCCATTCCAACTTCCAACAACTTCCCATACTATACCCAGACATACCCCATAGCCACACAAAACTAGAGGAGAATATGGGGAGTTTGATGAAATATAAGCCTTGAAAAAAATCCAAATGAATGATGATGGACTTGGTATAGAAGTCCAGATACTTCTACAGGAGGATTTCTGATCTCCATTCAGCAATGTGAATCTGGTCCCAAAATTGGACTAGAACTTCCTAAAGAGAAAAGACTAAAAAAATCACACAGATTGAACCTGGCAGCTGCTTCCATTATAAGACTGCACTTCCTTTCCCTAGCAAGGACAACTCATCACTCCAGTTTCCCAATCAGGACATCCGTTTAAGTATCCAGACTGGGGAGGAGAAGAATCATGATTCCTACAGTTAGCCAACATCATTTTTTCATTGAGAATCTATGTGATGGGTACTTCACAAATATGTGTAAATTAATCCTCAGTATCATGACACAATGTAGTTTTTGCCTTTCGGCATACTTTTGCTCAGAAGTCAAACCAGTCAAGTGGAAGATGTTTGTTTTGAATGCACATTCTCTAACTAAAATGCAATTCTCTTTCAACTTTGGTTTTGGGTTCTGATGGACAGGATTTCTACTTCACTCAGAGAAGTCTGAGCATGAACATTTCCCTAAAAAAAGAAAGAAAGAAAGGAAAAAACCCACAAAACTTCCATTCACAAGATGGCCCAGCATGTCTCTCTAGCAATCTACAGAAACATCAATTAGAACAACTATATACAAATAAAAATACTTTCACATACGCTAGGAAACCATGAGCTAAATCACCATAATTGGTTGTAGCTCAACAATAAGAAAAGACACAATGAATAAGGCAGCAAGGATAGTTTTACATAACTTGTGTTTCCCCTTCCCCAACTCCAAGTTATATGGCACGGAGAGATATTATCCCCCTGGGGGAAAGAAAAAGAAAAAATAAGCACTGAACTATGCCTTGGAATCCAACTACAATAAAACCAGCAATGGTTTCAGGCTTACCGGGTGGACATGATCTTCAGCCTGTACCACCATCAGCACAACATCAATGGGCCCAGACTCTGCATATCCCTCAGCAGCAGGCGGACTCAGTGGCCTCTCACTTCAAGAAAGCCACAGTGCCATGACAGCCACAGCAGGCACCAGACTTCTAGTGTACCCTGGCATAGTGCTAGCAACGGTAGCCTGAAGCTTCAGATGTGGGCAATGCCGCTACAAGCATAGTAGTTTCTGGCATATCCCAACACTGGGCCAGGCACAGAAGCTCCAGGCTTATGGCACATCCAAGCTCCATGCCCACTGTAGTGGCTGAGGCTGAGATCACAACAGACACACCAAATCTCCAGATGGGCTAACTATTGAAGGGCCATCTCTCAAGAGTAGAATAAGTACCTACTTCTTCAAATGCAGACACTGACAGATGGAAATAAGAATCAAGAACAACCAAGGAAACAGGACATTACCAATGTGTCAAAATAAAGAACCAATGACTGACCCTAAAGAAATGGACATAGATGTGATGCCTAACAAAGAATTTAAATTAACTGTTTTAAGGAAGCACACCAAACTTGAAGAAAATGAAAAGAGACAAATCAACCAAGGAAACAACAATGAAACAAAGGAACAATAAGTGACCAAAAGGAGAGATTTAATACAGAGTTTGAAATGATTAAAAAGAAGAAATCCTGGAACTGAAAAATAAAATGGAGGAAATAAAATATAGAACAAAGGAGCACCAACCTGAGAACTAATCAAGCAGAAGAAAGAATCTGTGAACTCAAAGACAGGTTATTTGAAAATATATAACTACAGGATAAAGAAGAAAAATGAAAAGGAACAAAGAAAGCTTTACAGGGTTTATAGGATAACAGCAGAAGAGCAAATGTTTTAGTCAAAGAAATTAAAGGAAGAGAGAAATACGTAGAAAGCTTACTTCAAAAAGTAACAGGGATGGGGGCATAGCTCAGCGGTAGAGTATGGTCAGAAAGTGTAAGGCCCTCGGTTCAATGCCCAGTACCCCAAAACAAAAAGAAAAAAAATGAAAGAAAGAAAGGGAAAGGAAATAGTAGCAGAAAAACTTTCCAAACCTGAAGAAACTGTAAATACCTTAGGATAGGAAGGTCAAAATTAACCAACCAGACTCAACCCAGACAAGACTACCATAAACACTATAATCAAACTATCAAAAATGAAAGACAAAGAGAGGAGACTGAAAGCAGCAGGAAAAAAGAAGCAAATAATATATAAGGGAGTTCCAATATGGCTAGTAGCAGACTTCTCAGCAAAACCTTACATGCCAGGAGAGGATTTGATGATATATTCAAAGTGCTAAAGGAAAAAAAACCTATAAACCAATAACACTATGCTCACCACAGGTATCCCTCAGAATTGAGAGCAAGATAAAGACTTTCCCAGACAAACAAGCTCAGGGAAAGCCAAGCGCAGTGACACATGCCTGTAGTCCCAGCAGCTCAGGAGGCTGAGGCAGGAGGATGGTGGTTCAAAGCCAGCCTCAGCAACTTAGTGAAGCTCTAAGCAACTTAATGAGACCCTGTCTCTAAATAAAATACAAAAATGGCTGGGGATGGGGTTCAGTGGTTAAGCACTCCTGGGTTCAATCCCCAGTACCAAACAAAAAAGCTGAAGGAATTTATCACATCTGAAACTATAAAATTCACTGGTTAAAAAGGTCAAACTCAGTATACTCCAAAACTGTAATGGTGGTATGTAAATCATATCTTTAGCATGAAGGTTAAAAGAAAGATATTAAAATAATAAGAGCTACAATAATTTTCAGGGATATGCAGTAAAAACATTAAATTATAACATCAAAAATTCAAAATGGGAGGATCAGAGTAAAAGTGAAGATTTGAGGGATTGTTTTGTGATTAAAGGTAAGTTGTTATCAGCTTAAAATAACCTGCTGTAGGATTTTTTTTAATAAGCTTCATGGTAACCACAGAAGAAGAACCTAGAGTAGATATTCAAAATATAAAAAACAAGGAATTAAAATATACCACTAGAGGAAAATGACTTAATCACAAAGGAAGCTAGCAAAAGAGAGAAATCAAGACACACAATGGATGAAGTTATTAAAAAAACAAAATGCTACTATATACTGCCTAAAGAGATTTACTTAACTTGCAAGAACCCTTATAAACTGAAAATGAAGGCATGGAAAAAGATATTTCATGAAAATGAAATAAAATAAAACAAAATAAAAAATGGCAAAAAGACAGAGAATGTCAGCATACAGTGATAAAATAGTTAATTTAGCAAGAGGATGTAACAATTATAAACATATATACAACCAACATCAGAGTACCTAAATATATAAAGCAAATATTGACAGATCTGAAGGGAGTGGAGGACTACAGTAGTGGAGGACTTCAAAATCCTGCTCTCAGAAATGGACAGGAAGAGAATCAATAAGGAAACATCTGCTTTAACCTATGCTCTAGACCAAATGGGCCTAATAGACACACGTTTGATCCTCAACACCACATTAAATAAACAAATAAAATAAAGGCATGCTGTCCATCTACAACTATAAAAAAAATTTTAAAAAGAGATAACCTACAGAATGGGAGAAAATATTTGCAAACTGTACACCCAATAAGGTGTTAATATCCAATATACTAGGATCTCAAACGACTCAATAGCAAGAAAACATACAATTAAATTTTAAAATGAGCAAAGGCATGAATAGACATTTCTCAAAAGAAAATATATAAATGGCCAAACAAGGGCTGGGGTTTTAGCTCATTAGTAAAGCCCTCACCTAGCACGTGGGAGGCACTAGGCTCGATCCTCAGCACCACATAAAAATAAATGGATAAATGAAGGTATTGGTCCAACTACAGTTCGGGAGCCTGAGCAGGAGGATCACGAGTTCAAAGTCAGCCTCAGCAAAAGTGAGGAACTAAGCAACTCAGTGAGATTCTGACTCTAAATAAAATCCAAAATAGGAGCCATACCTCAATGATCGATTGCCCTTGAGTTCAATCCCTGGTACCAAAAAAAAAAAAAAAAAGAAATATATATATATATATATATATATATATATACACACACACACACACACACACACACACACACACACACACAAAGATCCTCACCTCACAAAAAAATAATAGATAAGAAGTACTGGAGAGGATGTAGAGAAAAAGAACCCTCACACTGGTGGCAAAATAAACTGGAACATTCATTATGGAAAGCAGTATGGAGACACCACTAAAAGTTAAAAATAGAACCAAAAGTCATCATACTAAGAGTATATAGTGAAAAGACACTGGCATTTTGAAGCAGTAGCCATACTCCTATGTTTATTATAGCATTCTTCACAAAAGCCACGATATGGAATCAACCTATGTGTCCATCAACAGATTAATGGATTTTTTTAAATGTGATATATATACACAATGGAATAACACCCAACCGTAAAGAGGATATCTTGCCAGGTATGGTAACAACTGTAATTACATCTCTAATTCCAGCTACTTGGGAGGCTGAAGCAGGAAGACTGAAATTTTGAGGCCAATGTCAGCAAATCAGTGAGACCCTGTCTCAAAATAAAAAATAAAAGGGGCCTGCGGTTGAGGCTCAGTGGTAGAGTACTTGCCTAGCATGTGTGAGGCACTGGGTTCGATCCTCAGCACCGCATTTAAATAAATAAAAAATAAATAAAGATCCATCAACAATAAAAACATTAAAAAATAAAAATAAAAGGGCTGGGGATGGTTGGGGGTGGTGGCTTATTCCTGTAATCCCAGTGGCTCAGAAGGGTGAGGCAGGATTGAGAGTTCAAAGCCAGCCTCAGCAAAAGCAAGGCACTAAGCAAGTCAGTGTTTCTAAATAAAATACAAAATAGGGCTGAGGATGTGGCTCAGTGGCCAAGTGCCCCTGAGTTCAATCCCTGGTACTGCCACCGCCCCTCCATTCAGTGGTAGAATACCCCTGGGTTCAATGCTCAGTACTACAAAAAAATAAAAAATCCTCTCATTTGTTATAATATTGATGAAGGTAGAGGGCATTGCCAGGGCGGGTGGTCAAAGGATACAAATTCTAAGACAGGAGGAGTAAATTCAAGAGCGCTATTGTACAACATAACATAAGGCTGCCTCCTTTCTCATTTTTCTGACAAATGGGCTTATTTTGCTTCTGAACCAGTCCTTTATAGGCTAAGATGCCTATGAAGCCCTACGACATCTGCTGAAGCTTCTTGTCCTTTTTTTTTAAATTCTTTTTAATTATTTTATTTATTTATTTTATTGTGGTGCTAAGGATTGAACCCAGTGCCTCACACATGCTAGGCAAGTGTTCTGCCAATGAACTCTAGCCCCAGCCCATCCTGCACATTTTTAACATTGGCAAAATAAAAATTGTAAGCTGGCCTCCGTCCCAACCAATCAGGATGCTGAGGTGGGAGGATCACTTGAATCCAGGGCTTGGAGACCAGCCTGGGCAACATAGCCAGACCCTTTCTCTAAAAGTACATAAATAAAAACTGTAAGAATTATATCTTACATTAAAAAATACATTTACCACCATGGCAATGTCATAGCTTCAGTATTATCTGAACATACCTTGATCGTAACTTTTTTATCATCAAAACTGGTATTTTTCCCCACATGGTGATGGATTACTAAAGCAAGTATTTTTTTTTTTTTTTAAGTATACATAATGATAAGATTTGGTATACTGGTATACTATTACTAACATGCTTTGCTGTCAGACCCCCCCCCCAGGATAAAAACCTCAGCTCTAATAGTTATTAATCATGTTATCTGTTACTTTTCAATATTTTAGTGTCCCTCTAAATAAAATGGTGATAATTATAGGGTTTTTTTGTTGTTTTTGTAGCTGGGATTGAACTCCTCGGGTACTTAACCACTGAGCCACAACCCTGGCACCCCCCCACACACACACCTGAGCCACATCCCCAGCCCTATTTTGTATTTTATTGTCTCGATGAGTTGCTATGCCTTTCTAAATTGCTGAGGCTGGATTTGAATTCACAATTCTCTTGCCTCAGCCTCCCAGGACACTGTGATTACAGGCTTGCGACATTACGCCTGGAATAGTTTCTACCTTTGACCTTATGTGGACTAAGTAACACATATCAAATAAAGCACTTAGAGTTGTTTCATTAAAAAGTATTTAATGAAAGTCAGCTATATCTTTTAAGATAAAGAATCCACATATCCTTTTCTCTATAATAATTAAAGAAACTCTTTTTGGCTCTTTTCTCTCTCAATAAAAAATAGGCTTCTTAGCCTTGCTCTTTTTTATTATGCTAATTAATAAACTACAAAGCATCACCTTTATAGGCAATTCTAGATTATCAACAATTTACAAAAGGAGGAAATGTGGATGTATAAAAGCAAATGTAGCAAAATACTTGTAAATTTTGGACCTAGACCATGAAGAAAAATACAGAATTACAACAGAAGAGTAACAGTTAAATTAACTGTATCAAGCACTGTCTAAGGGGTTTTAATAGTTGTGTTGTTTTGTGATGCTGGGGATAGCACTCGGCCTCACGCATGGAAAGCAACTGCTCTACCCCAGACCTCATTAAAGGATTCTGAAGAGGATCTAAGGACAGTGGGGATCTAGAATAGCTGCTGTTTCTAAAATGAAATTAGAACAGAGATTACTTGGGAGATTGAGTGCTAGCCTGAGTGTTAATATGAGGTGGCTGGAATTGGTATTTCCAGTTACAAAATAAAAATACCAAAGCAACCCCTGGCCCAAGTCAGAGCTGCTTCTCACACAGCCCGAGTTTTCCCATTCTTCCTTGAATGTGTATGTAATTTTCCTAAATAAACCTCTGTCTATTCCCCACGCCCCGCAGGGAAAAAAAAAAAAAGCAAAGCAACTTGGAGCATCATTCATAAGAAAGTCATAATCTTTAAAGAGGAAGTATTTATGGTATTTAACAACTGTGGTATGACCTAGGGGGAAATAATGTTTTCTATTAATTTTGCTTTAGCTGTCTCTTCTTTCCTAGCCTGATCATGACAAGGCTGCCGCTCTCCCGGCGCCTCCGCCCCGCCCCCGTCCGTTCGGATTTTGCTCTTTCCCAGAAGATGGAAGCAAAATATCCCATGCCTGGAAAAAATTAAAATTACATTTAATAAAGGAAGAAACACAAATTAATATTGACGTTACGTTTTTATATATGCAACAACAATAACTTCCTCCATTCCCTCCGCTTTCCTAAAGATCATCAGGATTGGGGAAAAGAGATGAGAATCGAAACATCGAGCCTTTCTTGGAGCCCGGCCTCGGAGCCCTGACTCAGGACCCAACTCCGCAGCCACTGCTACTCCCACCATCTTCCACACACATAAGCCGCTGGAAATGAAGACGTAAAGCCGACCCTTCCCAGGATCAGTGAGAAAGGCCACAGTACACCAAAGCTAAACTGCAATCTGTTCACCGACTTCCTAGGGAGGGAACGCCTTAACGCGGTGCTCTGGAGCTGTTCAGCAGTTCTCAGGATTGCGTCTTTTTGTTTGGGGGCCTTCACTCTGGGGTTCAGATACCTAACTCGGAGCCATTCCTGTGGGCCCAGAAGCTGGAGAGCAGAGGGCGCAGTAGGGCACCTGGTGCCCAGGCAGCGTCACAAAACTCCAGAGTCACTGCAAACCCGAATCACACAGAAGTCCGCGCCGCCCCCGCGCCGCCCCCGCGCCCATTTCCTCAGTGCACGCGACCAACTCACCTCTCCCAGCCGACAGCAGCAGGGAAGCCGGAAGGAAACCGCGTGGGGGCTTGTGGGAAATGTAGTCCGCCGTGGGGAAAGTCCGGCTCCAGTCCAACCAGCTGCACAGAGTGCGCAAGCGTGGGGGCGGGAGGTGGGGACCAGCGCAGCTGCTGGGGGTCGGGAAGAACTGGCTGGCCGGCTAGTGGAAGGACCAGGAGCTCTCCACCCTGTTAAGAGTTTTTATTGTTTCCCTACTAGGGTTAGAAAAATTCATGCTACCTGCAGACACCTAACATATGTACTGTGTGTTCAGTATATATACTCCAGCGGGGCGGGCCTATATATCAGACACCCCAATAAAAATACCCGCAAAGAGCGGGGGCTGTAGCTCAGTGGCAAAGCGCTTGCCTAGCATGCATGAGGCACTGGGTTCGATCCTCAGCACCGCATAAAAATTAAAGTAAAGAAAGGTATTCTGTCCATCTGCAACTACAAAAAGAAAAAAAAAAAAAAAAAAAAGAAAAAAATCTCGCAAAGTCCAGCAAAATCTACACGACTTGAAAGGTTGCTCCAGCTCCCTGAAGCTCTCAATGTCGCCCTGCCTCAGCCCCTTTTGCACTCTAGCACTCTGTCGCACACTACCATTGTGAGAGTTCCTGTTCTGTTATGTTAAAATGGTTGACATTGCCATTTTATTATTTGTTTGTTTGTTTGTTTGGGGATGTCTGGGGTCGAGCCTCAGGGTCTTTCCACCAAGCAACGCTCTCGGTGCTAGATATTTATTCTTACTGATTTTTAAAATCATAGTTCTGCTAGTTACCTAAAGAGGCTGTGTATTTTCCGTTTCGTTCTGTCAGGTTTTGCTAAAATATTTTCAAGCTCTCTTAAGCACATATATTTAGAATTGTTGTCTTCCTGATGAGGAGATTTGAAAAGTGAACATTAGAGAGAATGTGTTGCGAGATCTTTCTCAGAGGAGTTATTGAGCTTGTCCTGGCCTGGGTTCCTTGGGAAAAGACACAGATGAGCCCTCCAGGGAGTACATGATGGCATCCTCCCCATCCTAGATTGTTAATACATTATTAATAGATAGAAGATTGAGTTCTTAAGAATATAGTTTTAGCAGATCCTTGAAAATATCTAGGCTGATCTTATTAAGCCTCGATTTGCAAACAATAAATGTGAAGTAGGAGATAAAAGAAAATTCTGAGCTCCTTAAGATTTTTGTGAAAATATTTTAAAATTCAAAACAAATTACTATTTACATGTTTATGATTGAGTTTATGTGAGGAAAGCAACAATCCATCCAAATAAAACAAAAATAATAAAAAGGGGCTGGGGTTGTAACTCAGAGTGTGAGGCACTGGGTTTGATCCTCAGCACCATATAAAGATAAGTAAATTAATTAAAGGTTTTAAAAAAACTTAATAAAAAGAATTTAGTTTCTCCATATTTCCTTTTTTTAAATTTTTTTAGTTGTTGGTGGACCTTTATTTATTTATATGTGATGCTGACAATCGAACCTAATGCCTCACATATGCTAGGCAAGTGTTCTACCATTGAGCTATGACCCCAGACCCTTCCTTTTTGTTTTGACTAAATTTTGAGGCATTTTGAAACTCTATAACGAATTTAAAATTTTTTAAAAATTTTTTATTATTTTAAAATATTTTTAACTGTAGTTGACACAATACCTTTATTTTACTTATTTATTTTATATATGGTGCTGAGGATGGAACCCAGGGCCTAGCACGTGCTAGGCGAGCACTCTACCACTGAGCCACAACCCCAGCCCTCATACTGAATTATTTACACCCCTCACTAAGGAGCCTTGACATTTTTTTTTTCTTTTTTTATGGGCTGGGGATTGAATTTTTTTAATGTTTTCTTTTCTTTTTTTTTAATTTTGAGACAGAATCTCACTAAATTGCTCAGGCTGGCCCACCTCCCGAGTAGCTGGGATTACAGGTGTGTGCCACCATGCCCAGTTAAGAACTGAATTTCTTTAAAAGATATAGGGCTTTTAGATTTCAATTTGTATAAATTCTCTTAAGTTGTATTCTCAGGAAATTTGTTCTTTTCATTTATATTGAATTTATTATAATGTTTATGATGACCTTTGAATGTCTATAATTCATGTATTCATTCTCTCTCTCTCTCCTCCCTCCCTCCCCTCCCCTCCCCTCAGAGGGTCATGCCATGTTGCCCTGGCTGGTCTCCAACTCCTGGGCCCAAGGGATCCTCCTGAGTACCTGGGATTATGGGTTCCCCTCACTGTGCTTGGCTATTTTTTCTCTCTCCATTAACTTGCTCAGATTTTTACTAATTTTATTAACATTTTTAAGAAACTAAATTATAATTTTCTCTGTTGTATACTTGTATATGTCTTCTTCAGTATGTCATCTCTGCTCTTCAGCCTTTCATTCTACTTGAGTAATTTATTCTTTGTAGCTTCTTAGCAAACAGGTCTAATTGTTTTAAAATATTTTAATCTAAGCTTCCAAAATCCATAATTTTTCTTCTAAAGTACTACTTTAACTATATTCCACAAATTTTGATGTGTTGTCATTATTGTTTAGTGGGTATTTTTTGTTGTTATATTTGACATTTTTCTTTAGTTGTTCTATCAAGTCCAGAGAGTTTTTGAAATGATTTTTGAAATTTAGAGAAAAAAATTATTGAAGATTTGAAAAACAATTCCTAAAAGATTGACTTTTCCAGAAAACTATAGCTACACAATGCATTGTCTGTCATGTTAAAACGTGCATAAGACACAAATACAAAAGCCATGAAACAAGCCACCATTCTTCAACAATTTGAGCAAAGATATAATACCTAAGGAATAATATGGATGACTTGCAAAGGATGGGTCTTTACTTTAAGCACTATTTAAAAAGGTGGGGGGGAGCAAAAATGGATGAGTGTATTCAGTTATACACACTGAATTGAAACTTTGGCACTAGGAATCAGAACATTTTATCATAGAGCATTAACATATTATAAAAGTGTATAGTGTCAAAGGAATAGAACCACCAGCATTCAAGAGCAGCTTTTGGGGTTGGGGTTGTGGCTCAGTGGTAGAGCACGCGCCTAGCATGTGCAAGGCCCTGGGTTCCATACTCAGCACCACATAGAAGTAAATAAATAAATAAAATAAAGTTATTGTATCTATCCATAACTGAAAATATTTTAAAAATTCAAACAGTTAAAAAAATTCTATTATACACCAACATCTTCAAAGGACTGCCGCAGTCTGGCTGGGCACAAATCACAAGCCACTAAAGCAGGAACAAACTTTATTTCTGAACTCCACCAGCACACTCCACACACACTCCCCGGGAATTCTCCCCAACGCCATGCATGCATCTCCTCCAGGAACCACCAACCGGAAATCCCTCCTCCGGCACTTCCCCAACCAATGGGAACTCTCCAGGAATCCCCACGAGAACTCCAAAGTAGCAGGCCGAGTTGGGCAGTAAAGATCTAATATACAACCGAATCAATCCAGCATCATCTTAATGGCTTGCCTCTCAACCAATACTATTGGCAAAATGACAGGGGCCATTCTGACTTGGCTGTGGCTCTCAGCAAAGGATCAAGAACAAAAATGTGTTTACATAGATCCAGACACAAGTGAATGAAGAGCATCTCCTCACCCTGCTTTCCCATGGTACTCAGGAGGGGCTACTTCATAATCGCTGGCACTACACAAAGTTGCAGAATTCTTTGTCAGGTACTTGAGGAAATCGTGAGGATATTTCAGTAATAAAGCAAGGCTCTTCTCATCCAGAGGTGTATAGGCCAATATCGCTCCAATTCCTACAAATAATCTCAGTAGATGTGGCGCTCCATATACCTGAGACATGGGTGCATCAGGATGACCTACAAGAATTTCAGCATGGTGTGGTCTCTTGAATTTGTAGAGCAGTGGGGTGCCCATTGAAGTATTCTTTTAGTCCTGCCACAATTCATTAATAGCATACTTATTATCTATTTCCTTGAGATTTCTTATAAATTGTATAATATCTAGAATAGAATCCACAATCTTCTTTGCAGGAAGATAAAGGAGCTATTTTGTCTGGTAATTAAGTCCCAGTCATCAACAAGCCGTGGTTTTAGCTCTTCAGGAATCTTTACTTTAGCTTCAACTCTGTTCATAAATGTTTCTTTATTTTCAACAGTAGGATCTACCCGGGGCCCTTTTCTTCCAAGGAGGCTGAGGTGTCGCACTAGTTACTGCCACCATCTCCATTTCCAGGTGTTTTCTGTTTTTTCTTTTTTGTTTTCACCTCAACGTTTTCTGTTATAGACTAGATGTATTCTTTCCTGGAACCCCTCTTTCACCTCCCCCATGCATACTGCCCCCATTGGCTTTTTGGGGTTCTCGCTGTTTCTGCAGATCGGTGTCCATGTACCTGAGTACTCTGCTCACTGGAACCCATTCATCCCAATTTTTACTCCAACCGCTGTAATGTATAAAGTATTTCACTTGTTTGTCCTTTATGGCAACCTTAACACACTATGCTTCACAAAGAGGCCCATGAAAGCACCCTACTCGCTCACCCTCCTGGCATTTCAGCTTCGGGTCCTGCTTGAGCGCAGTTTATAAGTGACTCATCGCTGCCTCCTTCTCCCACCACTGGTGGCTACTGCTCCCTACTCTACCTGACCCAATTTCGCGTCAGAGGGGAGGTCAGGCACTGTAAGCTCCACGTCTTGGATCCGATTTGGAGTTTTGAAATTTCAAACCACTATTGTAGATTCATCTGTTTCTCCCTTTAGTTTGTTCAGTTTTTGCTTCATGTATTTTGAATATTTATTACTTGGTGCATACACACTTGTGTGTCTTTTTAATGAATTGACCCTGCTGTCATTCCTTTTATCTCTTAATACCAATTTTGTCTAATACTAATACAACCAGGCCAGTTTTCTTGTACTTACTATTTGGATGGCATATCTTATTCCATCTTTTTTCCTTGAACTTATTTGTTATTTTACATTTAAAATGCATCTCTTGGGGGCTGGGGAGGTATATAGCTCAGTGGTAGAGTGCTTT